ATTGGCAAAGGTCTAGTATTATTGAGAACGATAAACATGCAAAATAAAAAGTAGATAAATAGTAAATAAGGATAGGGAAAGGATTCGTCAACTACGCGGACACTTACTCGCCCTGTCGTTATGCAGAGAAAGGAGAAGCGCTTTGTCAGCTGGGGAACGAAAACGGCTCAAAGAAGTTCCATTGGTAGTGGATGCTGGTCTTCTAGCTGTGTTTGATACAAACGATGTAGAAGAAACAAGTTATCGGTAAGCCCTATCTTTATATCACTCATCTACTCTTACACTCAAAACCTGGGTAGTGAGGACTTGGAACAATATCTACAATCTAATGCTAGGGATGGGATTCAGGCTCTCGTCAACTCTCTTTTTTCGCTCCCCATACAAAAAACGCAAGATGGACCTCTTGCAGTTCTTCCCCCTATAGAAACATCCTTACCAAGAGCGAAACCTCTTCCCAAGCCAAAACCATTAACCAAGTGGGAACAGTTTGCAAAAACAAAGGGAATCCAGAAGAAGATACGCGATAAAAAAGTGTGGGACGAAGAAAAACAAGAATGGGTTCAGAGATGGGGAAGACAGGGAAAAAATAAAGAGGTTGAAGAGCAATGGATCCATGAAATCCCGGATAATGCCCGTACGTTCTCGTGTATCTGCCCTCGAGAGTGTCTGACGGCCCCTCTCCCTTACAAATCCCTCAGCGGATGATTATGATCCTATCAAGGAAGCTCGTGATAAACGAAAAGCAAGGGTAGCTAAGAATGAGAAGCAGAGGCAAGCTAATTTGGCACGTAACACAGGTGCTAGTACATCGAAAGAAGAAAGGAAGGATCAATTGAGATCCCAGGCTCTTCAAACCAAGATGAGCACTGCAAGTATGGGAAAGTAAGTATCTATTCAATAATGTTGTCTACAGCGACTAGTCTAACCGGACGATTGTAGATTCGATCGTAAGCTGGAAGGAGAACCTAAAGTGAGAGGTGTCAAACGAAAGGTCAGTACACCCCTGATGTCTATTCTTCATCTCATTTATGACTTTCTCAGTTTGATCCCAATGAGGGTGATCTCCAAGCGGAGAAAGCTGCATCTCTCGCCCTTTTGTCGAAGCTGGAGCATGCCGGTCCATCATCCACCAGCAAGAAGGCTCGAAAAGAAGGGGGAGGAGAAGGAAAGGACGATATTCTCAACGTTAGAAAGGCTGTGAGACACGAGACAAAGGGCAGAGGGGCGACTGCATTGGCGAGCAAAGCATCGAACGGCAAGAAAGGCCGAACAGGAGGGAAAAAAGGCAAACGATGAACCAATGTATCATTATTTTCTTTTTTTTTTTTATATAAAAGGTGGCATTCATTTTGCCGAGCTACCATTTCATCATCTTGTGACGCTATTGTGGCCCATACCACACAATGCGACATGCTCGCGGGATGTGTGACCAGGCCACATGCATAAGTACAAGGAACATGTCTCTGTTTGTAGGCTGACTCAGCCTGGTGTGCCCCATAAGTCAGCCTCAAGAGCGGGCAAAGGGAAATCATAAGTTTGAACCCAACCACAACTAGGATGTCCATTGCCCAGCCCTTCCCCCTCGCCAACCCGTACGGAGTCGACCAGAGACCCGCCAGATTAGAAGTTCCACAACAAGATTTGTCTGTTCGCTTGATCTGCCCCGAGTGCAGAGACCCTCAGCCAAACATTGAAGAAGAATTCAGCTCTGGAGACCTGGTTTGCAGGGGGTGTGGGCTGGTCCTTGGCGATAGAATTGTGGATACAAGATCTGAGTGTATGTTCTAATTTTTTGTATTTTTTTTGAGCCGTTTTCGTTCCCCAGCTGATAAAGCGCTTCTCCTTTCTCTGCATAACGACAGGGCGAGTAAGTGTCCGCGTAGTTGACGAATCCTTTCCTATCCTTATTTACTATTTATCTACTTTATTTTGTATGTTTATCGTTCTCAATAATACTAGACCTTTGCCAATGAAGAAGGCGACGATCCCTCCCGTGTCGTACTGTTAGATTGTTGTAAAAGGTGAAATCAAATAGCTTCGTACCAATTTCCTGGACCCACACCCCGGCACCGTTCTCTCTCTCGACGTTCACCTTCTTGACCCCGAGAAACTCCATCGACTCTCTGACGAGTTCTCTAGCAGAGATGATACCAGCAGATAGGTATGGGGAGATCCTAGAACTCGTATCTCCATCGACTTTGGCTCGGTTGTCACCATATTGGGCGAGTCTCGTGTCCTTCTTGTCCACGGTCGCAGCACCCCTGTTGAGTGGCGATACATCCAGTTGACCTTTTCGGTATTTAGTCGTCAAGAAACGATGAAGTATCTCCCGTGCAGCTTCAGTTCCTGCTGGCCACAGCTCTTCCATCTTGGAGGCGTCCTCCAATTCAAATCCAGGAATCGAGTTAGGAATTGTGATTTCAAATAGGGGGCCAATGTTGGCATCGTTTCGGATGTCGGAGGGGTTTGCTTGGATGACGGGTGCTTCTGCCAAACATTCTGGATTTCCATCTACGTGTGCCTTCCACGCACGGAGCCAAGGAGAATATACCTTTGTATGTAATCATGAGCTTTTGTCTTGGAAAGATGAGGGACACCCACCGAAAACTGCTTCCCTTGCATGGTAGAGACTTTGTAAGGGGGAACAATCAATTTATCTTCGTAAAAGTCACAATAAATACCCCAGTCTTTGGCGATTTCAAGGACTTTGAGATCACGGCGTACTTCATCGAGCTCATATTCTGCGTTTTCATTAGCTCCTAGTCATATCCCAGGATACGTACATACCAAGGTTGGCGTACAATGACTTGCATCCCCATGACCGCACTAGTTCTACTACCTTTTGAGGCAAGCTCTTCCTTGGAGTGTGACTTTCGGCATAAAGCGGGATGTTGAGCTTGTCGAGTTTGTCCTTGAGCCAGTCCAAGTTGCGAAGCGTAAAGTCAATACGACGAGCACCGCGGTCGTGGGCCGCATAATCCCCGGGACTGAACAAAAACAGTACGATGACAGGGATAGCATTCTTTTTGGCAAAGGCAGAAGCAGCGGCGAACGCCCGGTTATCATCAACTATTCAAGCCTGAGTTCAGGTGATTGTGCGACAAAGGAACGTGAAAATACGCACTCCGCATGTCCTCCATCCTCATCCAGTACACCACCGAGCTCCCCACAGCAGGTTGCTCCTTTTTTGCTCGACGGATTGCCTCCTGCAGGCGGGGGACCGGAGGGTCTTGACGAACGCGGTCAGCGTTTTCAAAGGTCGCTATCTTGTTGTACATTTCCAAGGCACCACCATCGTCGCTCCTTACTCTCTTGGGTTGTGGCAAAGTCTCGTTTTCAAGGCGTCGTTTCGGAGGCATGAATGCTCGAGTTTTTAAGCACTGAGAGAAGGATATTCGAGTATTAAAGCGAAATGCCAGTATAGGAGTCGAAGATCAAGTTGCAATGGTTTGGAATTTCCTTTGTCTGACCCAGTTGTAGCATTTTCGATGGACAGCAGGCTGAGGGCGATCTTGGTGGGGTACGTCATTTGCCATCGCCGATAGTCCACATCCAGGCTCAGATTCACATCTGGTGGGCTAAACAGCTCAGTTCAACATTTTTGCTGACAATTTTGACGAAGGATTTCTAATGGCACTGCGATCTAGACGGAGACGGCGGTCATTGGCTGATCAAGAAGGAAGGGCGTAATCACTATTTCAACCCTCTTCGCCTGAAGTCATCTTTTACACTCCATCTCCTCACAACCTAAAAACATCCCAAAGATCAGGAATATCCATTTCGTTCGAGAATGCCATCCGACCAAGCTACTAAAGAATTCAGAGACAATACCGTCATTATTGGTTAGCTCAGCTGTGGTCATCGACGTCGAAGTGGCTTGCTAATCATCTCCGTAGTGCTCGGTGCCTCTGGAGACCTAGCAAAGAAAAAAGTATAGTCATACACTCGATATTCTTGTGTCACGCTAACAATCCCGTCTGTAGACCTTTCCTGCCCTGTTCGGCTTGTATCGCCAGGGCTTCCTTCCCGATGGTGTCCGCATCATAGGCTACGCACGTACTAAAATGGACGAGGCAGAGTTCCACAAGCGTGCAACTTCGAACCTCAAAGGAACCGAAGATCCAGAGATCAGTACCAAGGTCGAGGAATTCAAGAAACTTTCGTGCTACGTTGCTGGAGACTATGAAGACGATGCGGCTTATCAAAATCTTAACCGAGTGATAGAAGATATCGAATCAAAATACAAGAGCCCGGATCGTCATCGCTTATTCTACATGGCATTGCCACCATCGGTGTTCATACCCGTAGCGAGAGGCTTGAAGAAGAACTGCTACTCCAAAGATGCCATAACTCGTGTTATCGTCGAAAAGCCGTTTGGAAAGGACTTTGACTCGTGTCGTGAACTACTCTCTGCACTCCAGGAACAATTTACCGAGGAAGAGACGTTCCGTATTGATCACTACCTTGGGAAAGAGATGGTCAAGAACATGCTCGTTTCAAGATTTGCAAACACGGCCCTTTCTGCCGGCTGGGATAAGAACTCTATCAGTAACGTACAGATTACGTTCAAAGAGCCGTTTGGCACGGAGGGGCGGGGTGGCTATTTCGACGAATTCGGAATCATCCGTGATGTCTGCCAAAACCGTGAGTGTTCTCATTTTGATATCGCTTATCGGAGGCGCTCACAAAATTCCGTTCCCAGATCTTATGCAGGTCCTGAGTATCCTCACGATGGAGCGCCCAGTGTCGTTCTCTGCGGAGGATATTCGAGATGAGAAGGTGGGATCCGCTGACCTTGTCATTCACACCGTGCTCATTCAGTTTCAAGGTTAAAGTACTACGCACCATCCCACCCATCAAGAAGGAAGATGTGTTGGTCGGGCAATACGTCTCTGCCAATGGCAAACCGGGTTATCTGGACGACAACACTGTTCCACCCAACTCGAAATGTGCTACCTTCGTCGCTGTTGTCCTTTGGATCAACAATCCTCGCTGGGAGGGCGTTCCATTCATCATGAAAGCCGGAAAGGGTGGGTCTAATAATGTCGTATACGAGCACTAACCTTAATCGCCTTACAGCTCTCAATGAAGCAAAGGTGGAGGTACGAGTTCAATACAAGGACGTGACACAGGGTATCTTCAAGGACATTGCCCGAAACGAACTCGTGATGCGCATCCAACCATCCGAGGCCATCTACCTCAAATTCAATGCCAAAACGCCCGGTCTCTACTCCAAGTCTATCCCAACAGAGATGGACTTGACGTATAAGCGCCGGTTCGCAGACGCCAAAATCCCAGAGGCGTATGAAGCACTCATTTTGGATGCACTCCATGGCGATAAATCCAACTTTGTGCGTGATGATGAACTCGATGTGTCATGGAAGGTACGTGCACATGATTGTCCCGTCTCATTCTGCCAGAGATGAACCGCGTGGTGCTTAATTGACTCTTGTTTCACTCTCCCCTCTAATCACAGATTTTCACACCAATTCTGCACTGGCTAGAGGGGAAAGATGGACAGTGTCCCCGGCCGCTTCCCTACCCTTACGGCTCGCGCGGGCCGAAGGAACTAGACGAGTTCATCAATAAACGCGGATACAAGAGGGCCAATAAAGAATAGTAAGTATATATTTGAGTGCAAACATACTCTGTTTGACATTGTTTTCAGTTCTTGGCCAGTGACAAATTTGGCGCAGTTATAGATATGACACTTGTACACTAAAACCTTGTCCAGTCTGTGATCAGATACATGTACTAGATTGCAAAAAGAAATGAGAAGTCTTTGCATCTTTCGAAAGCGTATGCGGTCGTATATCTTGGTCCATTGTTCTACGGGTGGTCATATGATCTGAGACTCCGCCTCATCCAGCCACCAATGTCAGCTTCTCAGCCTCCGGTCTACGAAATCTTTTGTGTCTTCTATAATGACCCAAAAACGCCATTTTATGTTAAAATCGAGGCATCAGAAAGAATAGATGACTTGAAAACAGCCATTGTCGACAAAGGCCAGGTGTTTTGAGCAATATCGTCCCTGCCACTCTCATATTGCATCGTATGGATATTTTGGACGAGGAAAATGCGATACAAGATGCAGTACAAACTTTTTGGAAATTTCAACTGTACCCAAGACGTCAACCAGGCTGCATCTCTCACTAGGGGCAAGGTTGGATTTTGTGCACTTATTAAAATAAGCCAATTAGCACCCGGGCACCGCTGGTTATAAGCTCTAGAAAAAGATGGTTTTCAAAAAGGAATAGAGATCAGATTTAGGGCTAAAAAGTAGCAAATCACTGGTTAGTGGCTGGTTAGCGTTCCATTTAAGCCGATTACTGATACAAATGAAAGAGATTAGCGAAGAAATTTTGGGTGGATAAGTGGAGGTGCCTCACCCCTAATAAGGAGGTTTTAAGTGCACAGAACTTAACCTTGGCCCTAGTGTCTTGCGCTTTTGTCGAAGCTGGAGCATGCCGGCCCGTCATCCACCAGCAAGAAGGCTCGAAAAGGAGGGGTAGGAGAAGGAAAAGATGATATTCTCAATGTTAGAAAGGCTGGGAGACACGAGACAAAGGGCAGAGGGGTGAATGCATTGGCGAGCAAAGCATCGAACGGCAAGAAAGAGGGAACAAAGGAGAACGATGAGCCAGTGTATGGTTATTTCCATTTTTCTCTATTATATATAAAATCAAGTATTCATTTTGCCGAGCTACCATTGCATCATCCTGTAACGCTATTGTGGCCCATGCCATACAATGCGACATGCTCGCGGGATATGTGACCAACATGCACAAGTACAAGGAACATGTCTGTGTTTGTAGGCTGACTCAGCCTTGTCTGCCCCATAAGTCAGTCTCAAGAGTGGCAAAGGGAAATCATAAGTCTGAACCCAACCACAACTACGATGTCAATCGCCCAGCCCTTCCCCCTCGCCAACCCGTACGGAGTCGACCAGAGACCCGCCAGATTAGAAGTTCCACAACAAGATTT